ATGACATAATTAATGTCGAAATATTGAATCCCAACACAATGGCGTGTATTTCAATACTTGGAGTATGTATTATACTTTCTTATCTGAGATTAATCAGTGGACCTTTCGGTTGCTGTTTCATTAGTGTTATATTACACACAGGGTAATATCTGTCTCTTATACACATCTAGATGTGTATAAGAGACAGGTTGTTGAGTGACTCCTCAATGATATATCCATGTTAATACTGTGCAATACTAAACAAACTTACTCTTCAAGGTTGTCCATTGTTTCTCTTGGCCTTGTGATGACACAGCCTTGACCTGAACTGTTACCACCGAGAATGAAGTAAGATGGAGCAAGAAGTTCCTCAGTCATGATAGAATTCTTGGCTGCCTTATAACTGCAGATTCATAATATATAAAGAAAATTTAATAAAAAGTAATTAAAGTAAGTCTTCTTGTATTTGCTGTCAACTTATTAATAAAGTATTATATTTCTGTTAATAATTATTTTAAAATGATATAAATAAATTAAAAATTAAAGTTTAGATGCTCTCCTATTTAGATTGAGACCATATAAATGCTCCTACATAAAGGACTGTTCTTTGTGCACCAGAAACGGTTCTTAGGGGTTCCATTCAAGTCTAACTTGATTTGGTAACAAAGACCCATTCTTCAGGATACCAAAAAGTGTGGGTTTTTTTTTACAGTACCATTTCCAAGGGAAGGGAAGGGGAGGTTGCTGATTTCCCTGACGAGAAAAAAATGGACATGGTCGGGTGTCGCTAACAACCTTTTCAAAGTAGTCCAGGGGACGTAGCCCCCCACCCTAAAACATTGTGACAATTTAGGGGTATCAAAGGCTTTTTAAATCTAGTTTAGAGCCTAAAGTTTTCAGAATATTCATCGTAAGAAGTGCTTCTTTAAACCCCTCCCATGCCCCTTTATTCTGAATACTAATAATCGGATTCGAAACTATTTTAGGGTGTATTCGATCTCATGAGCTCTTCTAAACTAATCAAGAAAAATGAACCACAAAAAAATTAACAATTGCAGTAGCGGGTCAGGGCATTCGAACCGGGGGAGGGGGCAGGGAGGGATTTTTAAAGGTGGAGGGCAAAGACCCAAAAAAATTATAATTTATGATAAGAAAATTTATGATAATAGCACTTCTAGATGGCCAGAAATGGCACTCACAGACTGAAATTTTAATACAATTCCCTTTTTTCCCCATTTCTTTTGTAATTTAAAAAAAATTATGGGGTGGGGCCGGGCCGACTGGGGCACCCTTGAATACACCACATTTTAAATCAACACAATATAATCAATAATTACCACCATCCAACTGGAATCTCTCATTCATAGACAATGTCAACACTCCCAAAATAAAGTCAATATGATTTAATATTAGGAGAGATAAAAATAGCTACTTACAACAGTTTAGGCGATGGTGATGACGGCGACGGTGATGACGGCGACGACGATGACGGCGACGACAACAGAATTGAGGATGACGACAATGGTAATTATGAGAACCAGTTCACTTTATTGTGTGATATTTTCAGTAGACCGTAAAGGATCACCACCATTGCCATTGTCATCGTCATCAATGCTGTCTTCATCACTATCGCCGTCTTCATCATATGACGTTTGGTAAAAAATAGAACTTTATGATAAAGAAAACAAATATCAAAAAGATGTTATAAGAAAGCTAATAAAGAAGATTGCATGCTTACAGGTTTCACACCTGTTAATACGTCGATGTAGCCGGTAAAATGAACAGCACGGGCTACAGTCTTACCCCCAGACTGGTAGTCTACATTTATGATTAGTGGACGAAATTTCTCAGTCAGTGCCCATTTGTCATTATCTGTATCTCAACTGTTCTAGTAAACAAAATCAATCAATGAAAAATATTACAGAAAAGGAAATACACGACATGATTTCTTTGATTAAAAATGTCTGAAACATGGTATAGACAGAGAAAAAGTCTGAATCATTGAAAATTTATGCCCTAAGAATGACCCCCACAATGATCTCACAATGCTCTACTTCATCAGAAAAGATCAACTCAATAACACACTTCATTGAAATCGTAAGAATAATTTACTTACTTAATAAAGAGACCAAAGTCTAAGTTCCGAGCATGATACCATGTCCTTATAAAAAAGATTATCAACTTAAATTGATAAACAAATTGCTATACTGAAATCTTTTTCAAGATACGAAAAAATTATGAAATAATGGCCCCTTACAAATTACTTTTTATACTTTTAGGCCTGTTCATCTATGTTCTCAGCAGTACAACACAAACAGATCAAACCAATCCTTGATGCAAAATTTAGCACATCTTTCTATTTTGTATATATTTCTTTATGTACAATAGCACCTTTCTTTTCAGATGCGAAGTGTTTTTACGCAGGTCAGAGCGTTCATATTCTACAAGTGTCGCTGCTGTAATTAGCGCAGGAGCAGGCAACCCCACTACATCCCCACTGATGGATATTTACTAAAATATCTTACCATTGGGAGCCTCAGCAATGATTGAAGTACATAGAGTAAATATTTCATAGAAAACATTGAACAGTACCACTTGATCTGTGAAGTAATCAGATATATCAATTAGTTAATATTAATTATTATGTCAAGGATCAAAACAAATAAATACATCATATACATTTATAATTTGCATATCTATGTTAAAGTTCAAGAAATCATCCATTAATTGATTGGTTAATTATTCAAGTGAATAGAATCGAAACAAGAGTTCCACATGATTTGCTTACTCAACTACCCAAAAATTGCTCCAAATCGGTACAATTTTGTGTTCGTTGAGGGGGGAGAGGGGTGCTTATGAATATTTTTAATGTTTCTAACTTACCAAGAGGAATATCCGCTGCTGTAACAATACCCTTCGTCTCATCACCTTAAGGGGCTGGTATCTGATCTGTCAACAGGGCCTATTGGGAAACAACCACAGCATTGCAGAGGGGAGCATGACGAATAATCCCCACCCACTGTCAACAATCAAATGTCCTTCTTTGTTTTTTTTTTGTTTTTTTATATTTTTAATGAAATTAAGGAGAAAGATATAATGCCTAGCATATGACTCGTGATCGCGGTACCCTGACCATTAAAAATTAGCAGACGCACTTGGATTCTGGGAAGCGTACATTTCAGTTCCTGTATTATTCTTATAACTTTTTATTTTAATGTTATTTTCTGTTTGAACTGTTTATGCTCTAGAAGTAGTTAAGTCTCTTAGTGTTTCAACACCTTGATATAAATTTACATATTTTGCTGTGTTATTTTCAGAAATCAGTTTGTACAGTGATGGTATTTTTTTTTAACAAAATAATCACAGTATGTTTAATGTAAACTATAAAATAGATGGAAGAAATATGTAGCATAAGAAAACTACTGTAGTAAACTAAATAATATTTGTTATATTTTATATCCATAAGAGCTATCAGCTCCAGGAGAAATATTAGCGAGAGGTCCTGAAGCCATTAAAGCATTCACATATGAATTCCAGAATGGGGAAATTATGATGGTTAATTCCAGAGTGATGTTTCTAGGCAAAGAAGGAGTTGGCAAAACCAGTTGTGTCCGTTCCATGCTTGGCAAAGTGTAAGTACAAAATAAGGCCTTGTTTTTTAGGTAATTGTACAGTCTTTGGTCTTATTACAATATTCTTATAGTATATAGGTTCTTATAGGTTCATTACTCTCCTAGGCGACTGACTATCCAGGATTATTTTTCCAATTGTTTAAAGAATTTTAAAAGGGCATTTCTGCCCATTGGCTCTTGATATAACTCTAATTTTAAAAGCTTTAATTTTCTACTTAGTATGCATTATATACAATTCTACACCACACACACACAACACATCAATATAGCACAGTACATATGACACCATTTTGTTACTGAGTGCTTCCAGAGCTTGTTGCACTCTATTATGGCTATTTCAACTGTTATTGAAAAACTAATTTAATGTTCTATAAAAAAAAATACTACAAAATTAAAAAGGTTAATGTACAATGTAAGTAAAAAATTATCAATCATTGTTATCTGGAGGTCGTGTCAAAGGGCAAAAATCAATCCTGTGATATGCATAAGGTTCATAAGAATACTATACATTTGTACTCTTATATTTCAGTTCCTGTATTATTCTTATAACTTTTTATTTTAATGTTATTTTCTGTTTGACCTGTTTATGCTCTAGAAGTAGTTAAGTCTCTTAGTGTTTCAACACCTTGATATAAATTTACATAGTTTGCTGTGTTATTTTCAGAAATGTGTTTGTACAGTGATGGTATTTTTTTAAACAAAATAATCACAGTATGTTTAATGTAAACTATAAAATGGATGGAAGAAATATGTAGCATAAGAAAACTTCTGTAGTAAACTAAATAATATTTGTTATATTTTATATCCATAAGAGCTATCAGCTCCAGGAGAAATATTAGCGAGAGGTCCTGAAGCCATTAAAGCATTCACATATGAAGTCCAGAATAGGGAAATTATGATGGTTCATTCCAGAGTCATGTTCCTTTGGAAAGAAGGGGTGGGCAAAACCAGTTGTGTCCGTTCCGTGCTTGGCAAAGTGTAAGTACAAAATAAGGCCTTGTTTTTTAGGTAATTGTACAGTCTTTGGTCTTATTACAATATTCTTATAGTATATAGGTTCATATAGGTTCATTACTCTCCTAGGTGACTGACTATCCAGGATTTTTTTACAATTGTTTAAAGAATTTTAAAAGGGCATTTCTGCCCATTGGCTCTTGATATAACTCTAATTTTAAAAA